AATTCATCTGTCAAACTTGTGGAACATAATGTTTCACTTTCATCTTCTATCATTCCTTCTTCAATGCCATCTTCGAAAATGTTAGTCACTTAGTACTTTTTTTTTTCTAAATAGTATTCCATGACATATTTGCAGCGAAGTCAATCGTCATAAACGTACTTGAATAAATACTATCCAAGTTATTGCAGACTTTTTCAAGACAATCGTTAACTTTTTTATCATTATCGTCGTAACTTTCCTGAATCACGTCGTTCACTTTATCACATCTTTCTGAGAATGTAATTAAAGGTAAACAACCGAATTGACTAAGAGTTGGATTCAGTATTGTCAACATCTCTTTCATCGTTACTTTACTGGTGACATTACAATATACAATTAAATTATATGTTTCATGATAAAACAAAAATAAACTGTGTCAATATATTATCATAAATAATGTAAACATTATTTGTCCACGATGAAATTATCCAAACTGAGTTTATTTTACCTTTTATCTCCATGAACATGAACTTTCTGTCCAATTTCCTTTGCGAAAACATTTAAAGAATCTGGAATACTCGTGTCCAAGGAAAGATTTGTATTCGACAAAGGCTGGCCCTTTTTCATTCTGATCAATCTTTATTCTGAAATAAACAGAATGTTTTAAAGATTAATCAAACGTGATTAATTATTAAATTTAATTACAACTACATTATAACGGACATTATTTACATGTACATTGAATTTGCAGTAAAACAACGTTGAATCGCAATGAATTCGCTTAACCAATTTAATATCAATCTTATTCAACAGATATTATATATAAGGTGAGCTATAAAATAATATTCCTGAAGAACTATCATAAATATTCTTTCTGCGTATTTTGTAAAGCAATTAACTGAAAGGAGAGAATAAAAAGATTTTTGCTTCTTTCACTGTCATTTTTTTCTTTTTTTTTTTCTTTTTTTTTTATATCCCTAATAGAACATGTCGTAACACCTTGCATAATGTTTAAAATTGCAAACATTCATATTCTTGCATATAAAATATTTTCAAATTATACATCGTATGCGCGAGAATACCAGCTTCGCACATCAGTCTTCCATGTGTCTGCAATAAATTTTGAAACAGTAGTTCTTGATATTGTTATTAGCTATTTGTGGCGTGATCTCGCGATAACACTGCTAAACTGTCAATCACTGCTAATGAATATTTACGTGGTGTGATGTTTTTTTTCAAAAATTTCATATCGTGCTCTGATTGTAACGAAAAAAAGTATAGTCAAAGATAAGAAAAATCTAACCACCAGAAATTTCCAAGATAATGAGCCTTTTCACGCGCCCACGCTGAAAAGACAAATACGTGCGGCATACATAATGATCAAACTCTTACACACGGGGCATAAATACATCAGGGATCTTATCGGGATGCAAATCCTCCTCGATCTCAACTGGTGTCTTCCTGCTATAAGTTATATGAGTCAGTTCAGATAATTTCATCCGACCTGACAATACAATAGCCACTGCATCCTTCTACATCTCGTCTAACACCCAAGAAAATCGGGATGTCTGTGGGGAATCCAGAAAAAGATGCAGATAGAAAGATCACGATCTGGCCACAGTGGTTAGCTACGTGTACACGTGAGTATTTTAATGCATCAAACGAATTAAGCGATTGCTTACGTTCCTTTATTTCTAAATCGAATAAATAATCGTGCACCGAAATCAATTATTTCCCAACCGATGCTTAATATACTGAAAAGAATCTGATATGCATCGAGTTTTGTGAAAGATCACAAACGCGACGTTTACTTAACGTTAAACTTAATCGAGAGATCTAATACAATCTCTGGTACACATCAAAATGCGCCGCATCCCGAGCACCAAGGTATCTGTACAGCTATGTCTATGAATGGGCTAATGAAATTATTCTCGCATCCGTTCACACAACTGTTTCATGGCCGTTTGTGACAGTCAGCTTAGCTGCTATCGGAAGTGGTCTCGCGAATGGTTGGGCATCGCCGTACTTGGCTCAACTGACATCAACGGAAGCGAACATGCCTTTGAGACTGACAGATAGCGAAGCGTCCTGGGTGGCATCTCTTTTAAATCTTGGCCGTGTGGTTGGGGCTTTGCTCAGTGCACTGTGTCAAGGTAAGGCCATTTCCTCATTGTCAGAAAAACGATTCGTCAAGTATTTATTAATTTGCACGAAACCTCTCCATTCGCGATACAAAGATTGATGCGCTTGAACTTGAAAAATGTCCTTTAACTATCATTATTACATTCCTTCGGATTCGACGCTAAACACACTTGCTTTTCACATAAATTGTTCAGCAAACCAGAAATGTTCGATAACTTTGACAAACATATACGTAGTTCGTAGTTGACCCGATCGATACTCTCTTGCAGCACACGATCAAGTGACCAAGCAAGGCAAACAATGGTGATTACACAACATTGTTAATCGAGAATTGAATAAGAACAAGGCAGCCACGACTCAGCACTCGTAGAAAAACATGATACGAAATTGTGGTACGTAGAAAAGTAAATGCAAGCAAATAATTGTAATTTCTGAATAATAGAGAATCATTGAGAAACGCACTTCTGATCTTTGAACAAAGATCTGGAGGAAAGAGAATGTAAAGAAAGAAGTTTGACAAGATAGTCAGTGGTCCGCCAAATATATGACTGAGCGACGTGTGACTGAGTTGTGGTAATCTTGTGATAATCAAGGCAATTGTAACTTTAACATGTCACAACATCATTTTCAGAATATATTGGACGGAAGAAAGTACTTCTACTTGGTGGAGTACCATTGATAGCGAGCTGGATATTCAGCATTTGTGCTACAACGGTCATGTGGCTCTACATCTCTAGATTCTGTTCCGGAATCGGATCGGGGATGATGTGGGCTGCATTGTCCTTATATCTAAGCGAAATCGCCGATCCGAAAATTCGTGGATCACTGGTAAGTTTCCATCAACTCTTATATCATGCGCTACAAGCAAATGAAATGAATGAGAACATGATCGAAATAACATCTGCCGGCAATATTTTACTCCGAATTTTTATCGAAGAACATTTGTGTAATCGTGTACCAATTAAATTGATTAAAGCGTCTCTCAAAAAGTAATGTCTTAAAATAAACTTCTTCCCATCTACATGAATATTCTGAATGAGATTTCTTATCCGATATACCTGTGGTCACGTCTTTAGATATCCATGAACGTGAATGCATCTTCCGTTGGTATGTTCTTGGGCAATGCAATGGGTCCTTATCTGTCCATGGAGATGTTCGGGTACGTGAGCCTCGTTCCGAGTATCCTCTTCATGATCCTCTTCAGTTTGATACCCGAATCACCCTACCATTACCTCCTACACGGAGATATCGACAAGGCTGAGGCATCCTTGAAGTGGTTTAGGCGAGAAGCTGACGTCAAAGCCGAGATGCGAGATCTTCAAGAATTCGTCGACGGAGCTGAAACTAATATTTTCCTGAAGTTGAAGGAGTTCCTCATGCCAAGTACTCGTCGATTTTTCTTTTCTAAAAACTGAAACATTTCAACAGAAAAGCCAATGACAAAAGAATTGCAATCGTTTACGAGACAACAAATCAAATTTGTTTTCAGAGAATCCGTGTTTCGTTAAAAATATTTGAGATTATTTCCGTGAAAATATGTTACACGTTCGTCGTACCTACTATAACAGTTTAGCTTCTTCTTACGATTTTCTCCAAACTAATCTCGAACTACTTTAGAAAGCTTCGTAACACCTTCTGTCTTCATCATAATGAAAATTTTAAGTACCGAACTTAAGAAACTAATAACGAACGGAACGATCAATTCTGAATTTCTTTCCACTTTATTTCAGGTAATTTAAAGAAACCTCTCGTCATAATTGGTATCTACGTGTTCTCCTACCTGAGTGGCTACAGTGCGCTGTACTCTTACGCGGAAATAATCCTGACGAAAGGCAGAATTACCATAACACCAAGCCTAGTGGTAACGATTCTTGGATTCTGTACGATCGTAGCCGGCTCGACAGCTATATTACTAGTCGACAAATTGGGTAGAAAATGTCTCTTGATAATGTCTAGTGTAGGAACATCGATATCATTGGCACTTTTAGGATTGCATTTCCATCTTCTTTCATTAGAATATGATGCTAATACTTTGACGTGGTTACCGATAATCGCGTTATTGACCTTTAATTTATCCATGTCCTCTGGATTACTGCCGATCCCAAGCACACTTTTAGGTGAAATGTTCACTGCCAATATGAAAAATATGGCATCCTTGTGCGTGAGTTCCAGTAACGCTTTGCTCTCATTCGCGAGTGCGAAGTCTTATCAACCTTTCTTAGATCTAGTCGGTGAAACATTCGTATATTGGACTTACAGTATCTGCGTGCTGTTCTCCGTACCGTATGTCTACTTTTTAATTCCGGAAACGACGGGCAAAAGTCTCATAGAAATCCAACGGTCAATAAAGAAATGATAGTACGTCGAAATCTCTTACTTCACCTAGAAAAATAGATCGTTATAAAAGAACAAAAATTACAAGACTATAACTTATACTATTTATGAAATGTGAATGTCAATTATAATTATCTTAAGATTCATTCATCCTTTGTTATTTTTCATTATACTATTTTCATTATACCATTTAATGACGTATATTTTAACAATGTATAAAGTGTTTGTAAACGAATGAAATTTAATCAAATTCAATTATTATTAGTAACTATTGTACCTTTCATACGTCGACAAAACGGAACTTTCAAAAGACTTTTTTCGAAAGACGATGTCGGAGAAACGTCCGGATAAAGGACTGAAATCATACTGAGTCTCCGAAGCAATCCCGTACCTTTCAATGTATGTTAGCTATAGTTAAAATTTCATCGCTGAAAGAGAAAAAAAAATTATAGCAACTTACATGCCGTTCCTACTACTTACAGTATGAATTATCAATCAAATCATAAATCAGAAATGACGTTCAATATGATGACAACGATATTGCGAAATGCTGTACTTTGACTGCAGAAAAAATAAAAATAAAACCTCGTGTCTCATAATCCAATCAATAATATCGTTATAAAGAATTCTCTGCCGGAAACATACAATAGAAAAGGTTTTACCCGCAGGCACGCAACCAATTTCGCATGTACAGATGAAAGAGCTACCTAATACATCGTTCGATTATTACATACTACCGAGCAAAATCTCGTGCAGTATACTTGGAATATGGCCTACCGATGAGAGAAGATCGACCTTTAGCAAAATATTCACATACTGCCGCGTGATAGTGGCAATAATGACACTCAATACTCTCTTCGTGCCCGAAATTATGCTGATAGCAGTAAATTGGGGCGACGTACAGATTCTAACAGGTAAGATTCATTAAACTGACTTGTGTCTCACGTTTCTCCAAACGAGAACATCTATTTATTTAGCAACGCAATAAATCACATTAATTCTTAATTTAGAAATAGGATGTGTTTTAACACCAGTCGGACAAGTATTATACAAAATAATTTACTTAATAGCGAGAAGAGAAAAAGCACACAAGCTTTATATTGAAATACGGAGTCTATGGGATACTTCCGATGACCCTAACGAAAAGAAATCTTACCTACAAATCGCTTATTGGGCACGAACTGTTACAATAATTTTCTCTGCATGCGTCTCGTGCAATATGATCATTTTCACAACGTCTGCAATTATCGATTATTTATGTAATGACAATCGACATTTACCATTTGAAGTCTGGTAAAAATCGTCCTTATCTACTTACACTTCACCATTTCGCCATTGATTATGAAAAGAATGAAAATAATGAAAATACGCAGCTCTGACATCCTGATCGTCATTATTAGGTACGGAACAGACATCTCAGCGTCTCCCAAATTCGAAATCGTCTTCTTTTGTCAACTGTTGGCATCCATCGTGGGAATTTCAGCAATCACCAGCGTAGACTGTACGATTATGACTATAATTTTACACGTGGCTGGACAGTTTAAACTAATCAAAACCTGGATCAATAAAATTGGAATTGAAATCAATCGCGAGCCCATTCATTTGGAAAAGTTTGAAATAGACCTATTTAAATGTATTCGCCATCACCAACGAATCATAAGGTAAACATTTTGCTACTTTCAATCTCGTCCTTCTCTCAACGTGAAACAGCTTTTTTCCATATAACTTTTTATCATTTATGCTATTACTTTTGTACAGTGCGGTGAACGATATAAATAATTTATTAACTCCCATCCTTTTTATGCAACTTCTTACGAGTGGAATAGAAATTTGTTTAAGTGGATACGCAATGCTCGATAACGGAGCAGCACTTATCGATATAATGAAATTTACAAGCCATTTTATTTCCATGGCGATAGAACTCCTTTTATGGTGTTGGCCCGGTGAAATTCTTGTCCATGAAAGTGAAGAAGTAGGGCACGTAATTTATTTCAATATACCGTGGTACAATTTACCACCAATTTATCGGAGACATTTGTGCCTTATGATTGTTAGAGCACAACAATATTGCAGTATCACGGCATTAACTTTCAAAACATTATGTATTCAAACATTAACAAGCGTAAGTAACCATTTTTCAATTTTTTAATTTTGACCATGAAATTTGACAGCAGGACAAAAATGATTATATAAAACTTGATTGTAAAAAATCAATTCTTACAACAGTAAAACAGAAATTATGGTACAAATGATTTCAGGTGTTCAACACAGCTGCATCATATTTTACTTTGTTGCGGCAAATGCAACAAGACTAAATTTCAACGAAATTATAATTACAATGTATGATATTAAACAAAAATAGTCAGAGGTATATAGCGTAATACCAATATATTCAAAAAGTAATTAAAAGTATAATTAAAAGTATAAATTTTCATACTATATTGTACCTGTTATTGTATAACTGCATGTAGATATTGCCCATATATCCAATTTGAAAATTCTTGCCATCTAGTAGAAAAGTACGTCTATCATCTGCAATTTTAGAACCACATTTTTATCTTCTTCCCATACTTTTAATTCCATATCTTCTGAACTTTCCTGATGATTTCAAGCACACCTTCACTACAAATATAAACGTGAGTGTTATAAATATTTTTGTTACATTTGTTACATTATTTTCTACTTCATTATTTGACAAAATCCTAAATAGACCGAATTAAATCAAGTATATTATTATTGCTAATATTCACTCTAATCTGTCCCCGAAAATAATATCAGAAAAAAATCTTATGACAACGACAAATTTTTCCATGAGTCTCGGTAAGCGATTTGATACATACTGAACAGGAAGAAATTTCAAGTATGTTGCATGGAAAAAATCATACTATCAATTTAGATGCTGTCTTCTCTACCTCTACCTACATAGACTATTCATCAAACTATAAATCAGAAATAGGGGAAACAATAAGGGACGTATGCAGAATCACATTAATATTGAATATGTTTCGAGCGAAAAGAAAACGCAAATCATGAACCCATATGTTTTAGCGTTCAGTCTGTAATATCGTTATAAAGAATTCTCTGTTGGAAAACTTGGTTGAAACA